CCAGGGCCGTTTCGGCCACTGTCTCCGCCCTGCTTGGACACTTAGGGTCATACTTGGAGGTCCATGGTACTTATTAACCAATTACAACTCTACTTATTACCCCTTTATAAGCCCCTTAAAGTGCCCTAATATGGTTATAAGTACAGGTAGAAGTACAGTAATAATTGGTTAGTAAGTACCATGAACCTCCAAGTATCCCTAAACCCTAAACCCTAAGCGCCTAAAACTCCCTAAGCCCGGTTTACTTGGTTTAGGGCTTCGGGCTGAGCCGACCGCGATCGGCTTAGGGAGCGGGTTCCGACGTCCATGACGTCCGCTGCTGCTTGGGGGTTGCGATGCTTGGGGCCCTTTGGGGTTTAGGGTTTAGGGTTTAGTGTTTAGGGTTTAGGGACCCTGAACTGCAAACCCTGGAGACTCCCTAGACTGCACAGCCCTGACCCCCATCTCCTCAGGCTTCAGGGCTTGGCAATCTGGGTTGTTGCAGGTCATCGAGCTGGCCTCTGCCGGGCGGTTTAGGGTTTAGGTTTAGGTTTCAGGGTTCAGGGTTCAGGGTTCAGGGTTCAGGGTTTAGGGTTCAGGGTTTAGGGTTTAGGGTATCTGATGGCTTTCACTTTGGTTGTTCCGGGGCTGTGGTGTCTCTGCTGAGATCTTGGGCGTAGGAACGTAGGAGCCCCGTGGGGGTATTGGGCTCAGGGCCGAAGGGGCAAAGGGTCCTGAGTACCTACATAGTACAAAGTAGGGGTTTCTACAATAGGAATGACTATTATGGTTAAGGTGAGTGTCCCCATATAGGTACTTAGGATTCTTTGGGAGGGGCTAGCCGCCAAACGCCTGCTGCTTCGGATTCTGGACTCTTTTCTACGGAGGATGACCTTAACGCCACTACATCCCTAAACCCAAAACCCCTAAATTCCCCCAAACCCCAAACCCCAAACCCCAAACCCCAAACCCCAAACCCCAACCCTAAACCCTAAACCCTAACCCTAAACCCCTTGTCTCCCAAATTCTCCTAAACCCCGACAGTCCCCTAAACCCAAACCCCCCCAAAACCCCTCAAGCCCTTCTTTCCTTAGGCCTCATCCCTCACCCCAGAAAACCCCCCAAAGAGCCCAACAACCCCTTAATTAAGGAATATACCCAAAATCATATCAAGGATCCCTATATAAATGAATCAGTATTCCTGAATAAAGGGATCTTGGGCTCTTTGGGCCTATTTCAGGATCCACCCCGTAGCCCATGCAAAGCTGCCCAGCAACTGGGATGATAGACAAAAAAACAGTATGAAGCCAGGGAGGATAAAACACCGCATGGAGGGGTTAGGGTGTTGGGTTTTTAGGGTGTTTAAAGTCTGGCCAAGGATGCTAAAGCACCGAATGGAGGGGTTAGGGTGTTGGGGTTTGGGGTTTAAAGTTTAGGATTTAGGGTTTGGGGTTTCGGGGACTTCAAGAGATAGAGGCTTGTGATGGCGGAGCCATCACGGGTGGTGGCCGGGGATTGGGTGGGTGATCTGGATTACGAGCCCTACTCAACCCCCCCCCCCTCCCCCCCCTAAACCCTAAACCCCAAATCCTTCGAACCCCCGCTCCCCGTCCTGGCAAAGGGGGTTGAGATCGTACTCCACACCTGACAGGTTTCGACTCTCACGCTCACCCTCATTGCAGACACGGCTGACCTTTGGCCTCAGAAGGCTTATCGGCGAAGATGAAACAGTTATGTCCAATCTCAACCCTATGCACTCTAACCCTTAAACTTGCTAACCTACATCCTCCAAAGCACGACCTGGCACCCTAAAGTCCAACCCTAAACCCAAAGGCCAGCGAATCATCTGGGCGAGTCACAAAACGTGGTCTCCTGAATCGTCCATTGCCAGTTCCCGTTAGGGTTACAGTCGTTGCAAACGAACTTCTTCTTGAACTGCTTCGTTGGATCCTGGGCTTGTCGATCAGGGTTTAGGGTTTAGGGTTTAGGGTTTAGGGTTTAGGGTTTAGGGCTTAGGGCGAGGTGGATGGATCATTTCAGAAAGGTCGAGAAACATGCGACGGGCAGGAAGGACCACGAGAATCCCGTCTTAGCACACGTACTGGGGCCCCCTCCGCAAACCCGCGCACTCCAGAGAGCCTACAGGTAGGTATTATTTTAAAGGTTCGATGCATCATTCGTGTAATGCTTGAAGTCCTATAAGGAAGCACGTGCCTAGAGCCGCACAGAAGCGCTGCAAGCTTGCAAGCAAGTCGCGTAGCAGTTCTTGCGCCAATCCTCCCTTGGTGCATTTCAGACTGACTGTGCGAGGTCCTTTCCCTAAGTCCCTTGTACTACTATTTGCTTTAAGAACCCGCCCAAACAAAAAACGAAAATCATCCCCCCCTAGATTACCCCTAAAATTAATGAAGAACGTGTTTTGGTGGCTTCTCAAGCAAATAGTCTCTCTCTCTCTCTCTCTCTCTGCCGCTGCATATAGTAGTTCGCCCTTGTTTTGGCACACACCCTTAACCCAGACTTGGCAGGCGCTATCAGGAGAAAGCGTCATGGGTCGGTAGAGCCAAGAGCCCAATATCCCTTAATTAGGGAATCTTCCTTAATGTGTCTAGGGATATTGATATTAGGTATCTAGGGATCCTCAACTAGGGAGTATTCCTTAATAAAAAACTAGGGAGCCATGATCAGGTACATTCCTTAGTTAAGGGGTATGGGGCTATTGGGAAGAGCCAAGAAGCCAGTCTGTGCAAGTTCGCTCGCCGGTCGTGCCGCACTTCATCGAAGAGATCCCGGAGAGGGCATCTAAGTCGACGAAATCCTGGTTTAGGGTTTAGGGTTTGGGGTTTAGGGTTAGGGGTTTAGGGTTTAGGGTTCCTGAGACACTCAGAAACCTGCAGGCAGACTCCAAAACTTTCTTGGAGGTTCACGGATACGCAATGAGGAGGGCTAGAAGTACCCCCCCTGACATATGCGCCTGTCCTAACAACCCGTGAATCCCCACTGGTCTACATCAGGACCGACCATGGTGACCATCAAGTCTGTGAATCATAGCTACTTCGGGCTATTTGAAATCTGTAGGGTATGTCAAGTATCAGAGTCTACATGGAGGTTTGCCCAGCCCTGGAGATACTTCGCAACTCTGGCCTGAACACATGCTTTGCATTCAAGCTCTGAACCTGCTAAACCTTGTCCGAAGGCCTGACCAAGAAAACGCCTAAAGCAAGCGCGCCCGTCCTCTTCCTGAAGGCCATTGTAGGAGTACCTTGGAGTGACTTTTGAAGAAAGCGAAATTGATGGGGGGGGTGGGGGGGGGGCCTCAGCACCAAACCCGATAAGCCTTTTATGCAACCAGGGTTTAGGGTTTAGGGTTTAGGGCTTAGGGTCTAGGGTTTAGGGTTTAGGGTTTAGGGTTTAGGGTTTAGGGTTTAGGGTTTAGGGTTTAGGGCTTAGGGTACCTGGAAGCTGTAAACCCCTTAAGGCTGCCCTGCATCAAAGCGGCACGCAGCCTGGCAGGCCAGTCGGCGTCGTCGTCCCGTCGGGGCACAGGCCGCCCAAGATCGGCTTCTGCCCAAGTTGGATGGGAAGAGCGGGGTCGAAGTCCCCAGATCTTCCAAACCCCCTAAATTAGGGAACATACCCTAATTCATAGTAAGGATCCTAGTATAAATGAGGTATATTCTCTACTTAAGGAGTTTTGGAAGATCTGGGTCTGAGGGTAGTTTGACTAAGTAGGGTATGAGGGCCGTATACTTAGAGGCATCAGGGCGGCATGTTAGAAGATGCAACCCTAAACCCTAAACCCTAAATACCCCAAACCCTACACCCTCAACCCTAAGCATGAGCTCTTGAGAGCCCTTAACCCTTGAACGCTAGCACATTCAGGGTGTACCTGGGGCTTGTTGCGTCTCCGGGTGTTTTCGAAGAATCATTCAACATACCTCAAACAACCCATACCCCTTAACCTGTATAGGGGATCCGAAGTATGGGCCCTTAATTTGGGTCCCCTGATATATAACTTTAATATATAACTCTTATGTACGCTATACACCAATAAGGCCCCATCCTTCGCATCCCTTTTAAAACCCTTTGCGTAAGGGTAAGGGACTTCTAAGCGCCCATGGCTCCAACTTTAGACTACGAAAGGAGAATATAAGCAAGGATATTACCACACCCCTTGATTTATTCTAAGGGGTATGCCCCCAAGGGGCATGTTGAACATTTCCTAAATGTTCGGGCCCAAAGACCATAGCATGTAAGGTTTGTGGCAGCCATTGATTGGCGTGCAGAAAATGGCAGCAAGCAGGTTTCTTATGGTAGCTCCTGAAGAGGCCCAGCGAATACGGCACACACACACACAGAGACACACAATACGCAGTGTTTTAGGGTTTGGGGTGTAGGGTTTAGAGCTATTGCAGGTTTGATCAATGGCCCCAGAAGATTCAAGAGCAGAAGTTCAAGTTAGAAGTTTTAGTCCTTGAAGCCAAGCCCTTGAAGTCTTACTGCTAATGTATACACAGACAGACAGAGTGAACATATCTATTTATATACGTATATATATATATATATGTATGTGTGTGTTATGTACGGAATTATACGAGTTGTACGAAGCTCTAAGTCCGTGGAATGAGGGTCATGGGCATGAAACCTCAATATCGTAAATACCGTCCAGGCGTAGTCAACAAGGACCATCATTTCGTAAACTCACCATAAACCCTATACTACGATCATCCCCATTCAGATATTCCGAACCCTATACCCTCAACCCAGATATTCACCAGAATCAGAAGTGACGATATCGTAAAACCCTAAGGGTCCACGAACCTATATATTTGGGCCCAGAAGTCCCTAAATAGGAGGTACCTCTAAGGCCCAAGTATTCCCGACATCAGGTACATGGACCCTAAACACCAAACCCTAATCCCTAAGCCCTGAGCCCTATAAACCCTAAACCCAAAACCCAAAACCCTAAACCCTAAACCTACCCAAGCGCTTCTTTTCCTTTCTCTGTGACGCGCTGCATCGTCCTAAGACTGCGAAGGCCCAGGTGCTGGCACCTGGCCCGCCATCGGGGCCTGATGCTGTCTGTGGCTCGGTTCAGAGGGTTTAGGGTTTAGGGTTTAGGGTTTCGACTCTCACACTCGCACAAGGCCGCCAAGGCAAGTCTAGGGTTTAGGGTAGGCGGTTGAGGGTGCAGAGTTGAGTGTGAGAGCTACGGGTGGTTTGGCTTTGGGCGGTGCAGGTAACTGCAGGGTTTCTCGTGCGACCGATCAGATCTTGGGCAAGTGCTGTCGCGCTCAGAAATTTATCTTCGCCAGCTTGGGCGCTCGAAGCTTTTGTGGATCTGCTGATTCTGGACAAGTATGCGTGCCTCACTCACCCATGTTTTTAATGCGAAGCCCCAAGCCTGAAACCCAAAGCACGAAACCCTCGACCCTAAATTCCACACCGTGCTCCTTTAACATTCCTCAGTCATCCAGCATCGGTTGGGATGTTCCCCCTCATACTAACAGTCCTTAAAAGGGATTATAATCGGGGGAGTTCCAGAATCCCTATTAAGGACTATTTGTGCAAAGGGGGAACATCCCAAAGCATCGGCTGGTTGGTTTTTGAACTTTCATCTCAAATGCCCGCAATTTCCCCTTTGCCTGCACCACGGGATCTTGTCCAGAGGGGGTCACCATCTCCTAAGGAGGCCGATGCAAGGAAGAAGTCAGGGGTTTAGGGTTTAGGGTTTAGGGTTTGGGGCTTAGGGTTCGTGGGACCCCCCAAGAATCCTAAAACCTAAACCCAATGATGTTGAAAGCATACTTTTGCAGTATGGCCCCCCCCTCTTGCCCAATTCTTGAACCCAAAAATGACACGAAAAGCCCTAAACCCTAAGCCTTAAACCAATCTGTAAACCCTAAACCCTAAACCCTAAACCCTAAACCCCTAAACCCTAAACCCTAAACCCTAAACCCAATCTGACTGCGAGGCAAGAGTCGGCTCCAGTGGCTGCTGGTCCTGGCATCGGCTGCCTCGGTCTGGCACCCATCCACGGGGTTTGAGGGGTTTGGGGGGGTTTAGGGTTTAGGGTTTAGGGTTTGGGGTTTGGGGTTTGGGGGGTTTAGGGTTTAAGGTTTGGGGTTTAGGGTTTGGGGTTTGGGGTTTCGGCTTTGGGGTTTAGGGTTTGGGGGGTTTAGGGTTTAAGCTTAGTCTTTATAAGGGTTTAGGGTTTAGTCGCTCACTCTCGCACAAGGCAGCAAGGCTCGTGGGTCATATTTGGTCCAGGGTTTAGGGTTTAGGGTTTAGGGCCTAGTCAAGAATGGAGGTCGCTTTCACTGCTGGAGATGTGGTAAGAGCCGACTATGCTCAAAAACAGCATGGGGTTTAGGGTACAGGGTATGGGGTTTAGGGCTTGGAGTTTACGGTACTTGTGCTAGAGCTCCGCTCGCCACCGAGGGCATGCAAAAGGGGTGCCGGATTGCCATGCAACCTCCCCCAGAAAATCTGTAGTTTAGGGTTTAGGGTTTAGGGCTCTTAGGACCCAGAGACCAACCCCCTGCACATGCAGAAGCAAACGGCGAGCCAGGGCGCGCAAAGCCTTGGTCTGTGGCACCATACCCTTGGCTGCCGTCATAAAGGGCCTGTGAAGGAAGAGGAGCGGATGTCTTGGACAGACTTGCGGCCTGTGCTTGCTCAAGTGCACAAGCACCTGTTGCAGCTACATAGAGGCTAAACATAGGTCTTTAGGCTCAGAATCAACAGAGGAAGTACATGTAGGCTCTGTTTATCACGAGGACAGAGTATTCGACAGGATTTCTCCATTGATCCCAATATGCTTGAAACCAAAGCGCAAGTTCTCAACTACAATTCGCTTCAGAGCCCCCAAGACATGCTAAACAACTATAAGCTTGCTGTTTAGGGCAATATAGGTACTTTAGCTTCGGGGGGGGGGGGGGGGGGGGGTGCGGGTTCTTACGCAAACAGCAGTCAAAAACAGAAGCCCAGGAGTTGGGACAAACCCAGGAGTTGGATTGTTTCGGGGCTAGTTCGGTCATGAGGAACCCTAAACCCTAAACCCTAAACCCTAAACCCTAAACCCTAAACCCTAAGCCCTAAAGCCCTAAAGCCCTAAACTGGCCGCACCTGGCCACTGTTGGCATAAGCGTCATAGCCGCCATAGTTGTAGCTGCTATAGCCTCCAACGGACCCAAAGAGCCCAATATCCCTTAATTAGGGAATATTGCTTAATTTATATAGGGATCCTCAATATGATTTAAGGAATATTCCCTAATTAAGGGATATTGGGCTCTTTGGGGACTCCGTGTAGAATCAGAGGTTGGGGTTTATACTTTCTTCCCCAATAACCAAGGGGGAAAAAAGGTTAAACTTTAATATTCCTACGAAATAAGGAAGCACAAAAAATTAGAAGTTCAACTAACAAGGAAGTATATAAGTATGTAGGGTTTGCCGTGTACTCCGGCGTGTACTCCGACGAGGCTTTGTGCTCACCAAAATGTCCAGAAGAGCGGGTCAAAAGGTCCGCTGCTGGTCGTCAAAGATGTCTATCTGACTGCTTCAAGTTTGGACTCTCCCTTGCAAATCCACGCCCAGCCACCTCATCAAGAAACGCTTGCCCAAGCCGTTTTGGATGAAGCTCTTACATTGAACAGGGGTTACATTTACGGCTCTTGAATACTTCGCGACCATCAAAATAGCCCTTCTTTTAGTATACCCCTAAAGCCTAAACCCTAAACCCTCAGAATCTTTCAGGGAAATTCTTCCTTGTGCCGTCCTTGTCCATCGTAGCCGGCTTGAGACCTGTGGTGGCTTAGGGTGTCCCTAAACCCTGTCACCCTGTCACCCTAAACCCTAGCAGCACAACCCTGGGTGGAGTGTTGCAAGCTCACTTATTTGCTGGCGCTTAGTAGGGAATTCGGAAAGGATACAACTTATGGTAGAACCCCGTTAAAGCGTTACACGTGGAACTTGACTCCCTCATTCCCCACCAAGAGCAATTACATGATATTATATATGTGGTACTTTGGGAAGGGGGAAAGAGTACCCTTTTGGAACTCATACCAGTACCAGCAGGATGTCAATATGGAGTTGTGTCACAAAAAAAGCTTAAAACTTTCAACTTAATTTGAATGCAACTGATCGACATGCATCTTTGCAGTTGCTGGCGAAAACCTGGCCTTGTTTGGCCTGAATAAGGGTTTAGCTTAATCCCTGTTCCCCTAGGAAGAAAAAAAAGGATCCTTTCTGTTCATATATAAGAAAGCCCATAACCCAAAAGTAGAAAGGATCCCTAACACTGATCTAGATTAGGGCATTAGGGTATGAGGGTTTGGGGTATTAGGGTATTAGAGTATTGGGGTATGGGGGTAATGGGGTAGTAGGGAAGTAGGGTATAAGGGTCTTAGGGTTTGTGGTTTAGGGTGTTAGGGTTTAGGGCCTACTCGGGGCCCTAGCGAAGCTGGCATCTCGAAGAACCCCCTCCCCATGTTGAACCCCTTTTGTTCTCTGAAGGTTTAGGGTTTAGGGTTTAGGGTTTGGGGTTTTGGGTTTGGGGTTTAGGGTTTAGGGATTAGGGTTTAGGGTTTAGGGTTTCTATTAGGGTTTAGGGAACCCCAAACCCTAAAGCCTTGAACCCCTTAGAGGGCAGCTCCGAGTCGATGCAGAACTCACTTGAGGGGAGTAGTACTTGAAGGTTCATGGTACTTACTAACCAATTCTAACTGGGCTTATAACCCTACTTATAATTGGCTTATAACCCCTATAAGGCCCTATAAAAGGGTAATATAAGTAGAGTTACAAGTACCGTTATAATTGGTTAGTAAGTACCATGAGCCTTCAAGTAGGGGGAGCCCTTTGTGGCTTACCACTGGCAGAGGCCAACAACTCCAGAACACCTTTATGTACCCTATACAAATTAAGGGCCCATACATCAGAATCCCTTTAAAGAGGGTAAGGGACCGTATGAAAGGGCCCAAGAAACTACCCGAAGAGGAACCCACACCGAAAGCCGATGTGAGAACAGCCCTTAATAGTAGTACCCCCAGCATAATCCCTATGAAGGACTCTTAGTATAAGGGGGGACATCCCGAAAAATTAGATTACTTGGGCTCTCGCATGCTTTGTTCGAGAGACCAGTACTTGGCGTCCTCCTGGCAAGGACCAAAGGGGGGCAAGCCAGGAGGAGTGGAAAGAGGATGTTGAAATTCAGCTGAATGCCTTGGCAAACACAACAAAATATGCCTAAACCCTAAACCCTAAACAATAAACCCTGAACCCTAAACCCTAAACCCTAAATGCCCCACTTCCACCACAAATTACAGTATGCACCGGGGACCTGGACATTCGGAATCGGAACAGAAAGGTCGCAAATGAAGATCTTGAGCTGCGCCTACTGCATGCACAGCTTTCTACATGCTGTGGTCCTTCTGCCACTGGCGCAAGGCTTTCTCCTGCCGTGACAGGCACAAGATGCAACATCACTTGCGCGAAAGATCGACAATTTAAGGTGAAGTTAAATGCAAAACTACTGGTTGCTTAAGAACCCTCAAAAAGCAAACGCACATTCTTCCCTATAAGGGCAATAAGGGGATGACCTTTCCATTTTTTTTAGGGGGGGGGGGTCTTAAGCAAATGGTAGAAAACCGGGGCTTCAGGACAGTATGAGTTCTGGTATATGCAAAGGTGGTCACGGCTGCTAAACCAAACATGGTGGCTTCCGACCGCTTCTCGTGATGCAAACCTCACCGAGTAAAACTCTTGAACAAACGACCGGAGTTTTCACTAAGCGTTTGAGCCCTCAACTCTGAATCTAGGGTTTAGGGTTTGGGGTGTAGGGTTTAGGGTTATAGACCCTCAACTCCTACACCCTAACATCTTGCAAGTGTGGCAAGCCTCTTCCGTCTGCTCGTCCCCAAGCTTCACGAAGATGAGGAGGATAGCCGCGATGAGCTTTGCAGGGGAGCCAACACAAACTAACAAAGCTCGCCGTAGGTTTTAGGGTTTAGGGTTGCCCCCCCTCTATACTACCCCCCTGCCCAGGTTCCCTTCTTAAACAACCCTTAATTAGGCTAAACAATCCCTAAATAGCCTTCATTTTGGGTGGAACCTAGGGGGCGGGTAGTATGGAGGGGGTAGTAGGGAACCCAGGAAAAGCGAGCCGTGTGAGATTCATGGGATGAAGACTCGAACCCCTGAAGGACGTACTCCTAAGAGGTACTCCTATGGCCCCGAAAACCTTAGAGGTCCAAGGTCGAGCGAAAGCTGGCATCCCAGTGCTTCCGTCTAACGGCGCGCAAGAGCAATGATGTCGACAACGGCGGTTGCAGTCACGAATACACACCAACCAGTTTATTATATGCCCACGGACTGACGACAGTGCCGAGAAAGCCTGCCACAAACGCCTGCACCCTAAACCCTAAACCCTAAACCCTAAACCCTAAACCCTAAACCCTAAACCCTAAACCCTAAACCCTAAACCCTAAACCCTAAACCCTAAACCCTAAACCCTAAACCCTAAACCCTAAACCCTAAACCCTAACCCCCCTAAACAGCCAAGCCTGTCTTTTGACGCCTACAGAGGCCCAGGTGTGGGACCCGAAACCCCGAAACCCCGTACATCCTGTTGCATCCAGAATCCTAAGCCTAATTAATTTAATCAATTTAATTAATTGTAACTAATTGTAATTACAATTAATGAAAGTAATTAAATAAATGAAGCTAAATAAATTAACGAAATTGATGAAATTAATTTACCCCAAAAGCCCCTAAACCCCTTTTTTTTGCTGAACCCTAAACCTTCTTTTTGCAGCAGGAACCCGAAACCCGCCTGGCTTGAAAACCGACAGCACGGCAGTCGCCCCACGGACCATGAAATGCTTGGGTTTGGGACGTTCAGGGGTTTTCGGTTTAGGGCTTGCAGGTTCAGGGGTTTATGATTCAGGCCTTGGTGGTTCAGGGGTTTCTGGTTGAGGGTTTGGGAGGTTCAGGGGTTAATGGCTTAGGTTTTTTTGGTTCAGGGATTTAGCTGTCCTCCTCCCCAGATGCGGCCTGAAAGAGGATGCCAGCACCCATGATGAAAATGCCGATGGACAGGCCAGTCCTTTTCTTTCAAGCTAACCGTTTTTGTTTCTTTTGGTCCCTCTAAACCCTAAACCCTACACCCTAAACCCTAAACCCTAATCTAAACAGTTTTTATTTCACAGGGTTTAGGGTTTAGGCTCAGCCTGCTCAGCGTTCTGCAGTTCGGTTCCAATGGTCGCTTATTTATCTTTTGCCACCCTGGGTTCAGGATTTAGGGTTGTGGGTGTTTAGGTTTTCGGGTGCTCCTCTCTCGATTCATATATATATATAGAGAGAGAGAGAGAGATTCATACATATATATATATATAGAGAGAGAGAGGGAGAGAGGGAGAGAGGTACACATACATACGTATGTTGATATGCATATTACGCGGCACTATGGAGCCCCCCTAGACTTAAGAGTGCCAAAGGCGGCCTGGTCACCCACGGCTCGCCTGCGCCAGTACGGGGATCCCGTTGCCACCGATGGCGTCGAGGGCCCGCACGGCCTCTCTTCTGGGGCTTGGCCTTTAGGGCTGAGGGTTTAGATTACGGGGAGCTCCACTAAGGAAACTCTGGGGATTCAACGCTCATAACTGGTGCGGAACAGGCGAGGAGTCTGTCAAGTAAAGGCGTTCTGCTTGCAGGACTTGTTTCGGGTTGCAGCTAGCATCTGGACGTTTGCTTGCATACCCTCCCTAAATCCTAACCCCTAACCCCTAACCCTAAACCCTAAACCCTAAACCCTGAACCCTAAACCCTAAACCCTAAACCCTAAACCCTAAACCCTAAACCCTAAACCCTAAACCCTAAACCCTAAACCCTAAACCCTGAACCCTGAACCCTGAACCCTGAACCCTGAACCGGACTACGGACCAAGGATGGCTTGCAGCAGTAGCGGAGCTGGCAAAGAAGGTGGAAAACTGGAAAAGGCAAGCTTGCAGAGAGGGTTTAGGGTTTAGGGTTTAGGGCTTAGGGTTTAGGGTTTAGAGTTTTGGTTTTAGGGTTTAGGGTTTACGTGTTTCGTCGCAAGGGTCCATCTACCTAACCAGGGACGACTGGGGCCTTGACAAGCCTTGAAGTACCTCCTACATAGGGACTTTTTGGGATGTGGTAGCCCTAAACCCTAAACCCCAAACCCCAAACCCGAAACCCTAAACCCTAAACCCTGCCGAGTGGTTGCGAGGCTAGTAGGCAGGTGGCAAAATTACGAATAACCGTACCCTAAACCACCCCAGGGTCGTGTCAAAGCCAGGCTCAAGCTCCAACCAGCTCGCTCGCGCGCAGTTCTGTAGCGCCAAGCGGAGCCAAAGCCCAGGACAGCTTGGCATAAGCAGGTACGTTCATCCAGGTTTAGGGTCTAGGGTTTCGGGTTTAAGGGTTTCCCAACTAGAATGCATGTAACCCCCACTTATAGCTACCCACAAGTCGGGAGCATCTGGTCTTCAAGCAGGGAGGAGATCCCAAGCACCTTTGCAATCCTCCGGGTTCAGGGTTTAGGGAAAATTCTCAACCTCTTATCTCAGCCGCCACGCCTCGAAGATATAGCCGAGATAGCAGCCCAGCACAAGGAGCGTCCCCATGCCGTGGATGACCGCGGCCTTACAGCCAGCAAGCCCTAAACCCTAAACCCTGGATACAAGGTGTACCATAATTGAAGCTGCGCTAAACCCGGAACTCCTTTTGTTGCAAAGTCCAGCAGTGGGATCATACCACAGAGCGTGCTTAAGCTTGCATACCCCTAAACCCTAACACTAAACCCTAAACGCTCAAAAGCTCCTTAAACCCTAAACCTTCAAAAGCTCCCTAAACCCTAAACCCTAAACCCTTTTGAGCAACGGACTTTGGAGGCTGCCGGCAAACATGCAACTTCTTAGAAGTCACATCACGCAAAACATCACGCAAACTGTTCTATGCATCCATATCACCTTAAACCCTAAATCCTAAACCCTAAACAGGTTGTAGGCGGTTGCATCCAAGGAGCCGAGATGCGGTAGACGCCTTTGTGGAAGGTTCCTTCCAAATACCTTGGTATATAGGGCAGAGGGTTTAGGGTTTACGGGTGTTGGGGTGTGGGGGTTTATAGGCTTTAGGGGTTTAGGGTTCAGGGTTTGGGTGTCCGAACTCCCCCAAGCAACCTAAACCCCTGGCTATAAACCCCACGCCCTATGGCTATAAACCCCACACCCTATGTGACCCTATAAACCCTGTAAACCCTATAACCCCCATAAACCCTATGAACCCCTATAAACCTTGCACAGACATCCCCACCACTTTTTGCGGCCCCTGACACTGGATGATGAGCGCCACGCAGACCACCATCAGCAGAGCGTTGAGGCCGATGGCAAACAGGTTCCTGGGTTGGTCCCCTTTATGGACCAATTTAGGGTTCAGGGTTTAGGGCTTATAGGGTTTAGGAAAAAATGCTCTTCAAGGTTGGCCCTTAGGCTCCTTAAGTTCCTGAGGGATTAGGGCTTAGGGAACATCTTAAAAAAGATGAGCCTCTTGCCCCCAATAAGAAGAAATCTGGCATAGTTTCCATGCCTTGCCTAGGTTCCGATAAGGGTCCACGTACCTAAACAATGAATACTCGGGCCTCCTATGTAGGCACTTTTCGGCCCACAAGTACATAATATGGTACATGGATCCTTGAAATTCCCTTTTGCTGTTTCGCTTGCAGTTTGCGGGTTTAGGTTGCAGGGTGGAGGGTGAATTTGAGTGGGTTTGGGGTGTCAGCTGCTTGGGTGCTTGGGTACTTGGTAGCTTAGGATTTCGGGTTTAGGGGCTTAAGGTTTAGCCATGCCGATCTCGCAGGATCATGCCGCCCCGGAAAGCCTGAACCCTAAACTCAGTACTCCATCTTTTTCCCTTCAACCCATGGCCAGCCTGTCCACGAAGAGTTGATGCCAACCATTTGACGTCCGATGCTCTAACCCTAAACCCTAAACAAACCCTATGCCCTGAACCCTCTACCGCTTTTCTCAGACTCTACGACCCCTGAAGCACGAAACCCTGGGTTCCCTAACCCTTGACGGGGGAGGGAAACCCTGAAGCCTCTAACCGCTAAACGCCCGAAGCCCCCAGACCTAAGCTTGACAGACACAAAGTGACAGAGGCCCCCTAAACCCTAAACCCTAAACCCTAAACCCTAAACCCTAAAGAGGGAGTGCGCGAGGGAGAGCCAGGGTGCGCCAAGCCGAGGAAGTAGGCGCTGCGGAAACCTGGTCGGGGCGCGGATGCTATAGGCTTAGGATACAGGGTTTAGGGTTTAGGGTTTAGGGCTAGGATTTAGGGTTTAGGGTTTAGGATTTAGGATTTCGGGTTTAGGGTTTGGGGTTTGGGGTTTGGGGATTGGGGTTTGGGGTTTGGGGTTCGGGGTTTGGGGCTTAGGGTTTAGGGTGTGGGGTTGAGGGTGTGGGATTTAAGGGTTTGTGGTTTATAGGGTTTAGGGTTTAGAGATAGATGAATGTTATTCATCGAGTTCGGTTCGTCGATGATTATACTAATTAAGGCTCAGTGGAGTGCCCTGAACTAATCAGACCTAATTGAACTTAAGCATGGCGCAGCGTCCGAAATCGGAAACCAAGAGGGGGCTTAGGTTGAGGCATTGGGATTGAGCTTGACCCTACTTCACTGCCAACTGAGCTTCAAAAGCATATTGGGTTCGGCCACGTCGGGAAGGATACCAGAATTCTAGAGACGCATGAAGGGTTCTAAGTGTTCGTATCCCTTCCCCGATCCCTAAACCCGAAAAACCAAACTCCTGGACCCTCATGATAGGTCTCGAACCCTAACAAAGCCACGAAACCCTACGCCGTAAACCCCCTCACCCCCACCACCGCTAGAATTGGTAGAACCCAAACACTTCTTAGGCCCCCCATATCTTCTCATATGGTCTTTTGGCCGGGAAGTCCCTCAAGTGAGAGAGAGAGAGAGAGTACTTAGAGCCTGGGTGTTTCACTTGTGCCCTTTGTCCGAGATCGGCCTACGCATGGTTGCGGGAGCACGTTCAACAGTAGTGGGGCGCACCAATCGTCGGCGGCGTCCTTAAACGGAGTGGAGTGTCACGTTCGGTTTCTTTCTCGAGGGTCCTATGAGCACTATTTCTTGCCTCACTCCAGCATGCTACTAGCCGCACAACCTCGCTGCAGGGATCTTCCTGATCTAGGAACCTATAAACTGTGCCTGCACCTGATGCTGTAAACCGGAGCTCTTTCTTGTCTAGCTGTATACCCCGCACCACCAACCCAAACCCTTAACCCTAAGCCCTTTTTTGAAACCGGACTTGATGAAACCCTAAACCCTAAACCCTGAGCCCTAAACCCTACACCCCAAACCGGAATTTCAGAGTGAGGGATGGCCCCACAGCACTAGAAGCCTAGGGCTTCAGATAAAACTGCCCTGATGGTCTCCAAGCATCTTGTAGGGAAATTCCTTCTGCCAAGAGGTCGCCTCAGTGTCAGGGGGTGAACCTGCAAGCCCTCGATGGCTCCACGCCCTAAACCCTAAACCCTAAACCCTAAGCCCTAAACCGTCATGGTTTACGTCGGTTTGACTGCCTGCCTGCTTGGGTTCAACTAATCTTGTCGAACCTCTAGCCTACACACCGAAGCACCCACGCCAAAGGCTTGCGGTCATGCCTGGCAGCTGCCCAATACACAGAAGCTCAAGTCCCTAAACCCTACAATCGTCTGGCGACACGTTCTGTAGAAGACCATGTGTGTTTAGGGATTGGGGTTTAGGGTTCAGGGTTCAGGGTTTAGGGTCTTTGATACTGTATGGCAGTTTGCTTGGTGGCTGCGGTCCCTGTGGCTCGTTTCCAAGGGTCGAGAGGTGCAGGGGATTGGGCCTTGCCCAAGAAGAGCGTGTGTGTACATAGCCACGTAGGTTGCAGGGCTGTTGCGTATCTACTATGGAGGCCCCTCTAAACCCTCCCTAAACCCTAATCCCCAAAACCCTAACCCTCAAACCTAAACCCTAAACCCTGTAATCCCTATAATCCCTATAATCCCTATAATCCCTATAATGCCTATAATCCCCATAATCCCTATAATCCCTTGAAACCCAGTCTTAAAGGGAGAGTCAGGCAAGAGGCAGCTGCCCGGTTTCAGTCTGTTCGGGACAAGCTGGCAAAGGAAGTTGGAACCTTTCTCCACCTGCATTCTGAGAACGAAGGGTTTAGGGTTTATTTATTTTGGGTTTAGGGATTAGGGTTTAGGGCAATTCTGAGAACAGATGTGGGTCTGGGGCATGTAGAGTTTTCGGTAATCCCTTGTCTCGTAAATGTAAACAGGCCTCCCAGACACATACAGACTTCAGGGAGTAGTTGAGGGCCTAGGGGCAGGGAGCATGTTGGCAATACCTGCCGCGTCCAAGCGCACAGGGGTCTAGGTGTATTCTGGGCCCCTAAACCCTAAACACCCCTTGTAAGCTCCAAGCCAAGAATCCAGGAAGCTCGAAAACCGATAAACCCTCGCCATTCAATTTGTTCCCCCGGGAAGCTCCGAATAACGGCGTACTCTGTTTTGCTGAGCGCGTTTGCTTGTTAAGGAGCCTAACCCAGAAAAAAAGGACTAAGCATGCTACAGTCCCAAAACTAACCTCCCTAAACCCTAAACCCTTTGTTGTAGGAGACCCTAAACCCTAGCCCTAAACCCTAGCCCTAAACCCTAAACCCTAAATCCTGCCTTGAGGAAGAGCAGCGTTGTCTGCATTCGGAAAAGCGTCTTCGGCCCAAACATGAAACGCACCGCGTGCCAGCGGACGTTCGTGGAGACAGCTTGGAGGACAAGGCCAAAGACCTTTTAGGGCATGTAGGGCCCTAAACCCTAAACCCTAAACCCTAAACCCTAAACCCTGAACCCTGAACCCCGAACCTTAACCCCCATCATGGGGCCTTACTTCGCTATCTTACTGGGGCTCTCCACACCACAAATACAAAAGGTTGGGGTGCGCAGGAACTCATTCATATACATACATATATATATATATATATCCCATATGTACATATATATATATATACATCCCCTATATATATATAAATATATATATATATAATGTATGCATGCATGTATGTATGTATGTATGTGGGGCTGAGGTTTTCAACATTGTTAGCTTCACTTAGTTTCAGGGTTTAGTGTTTAAGCTGGCGGTTTCGCTATGGAGCAGAGGCACGATGGCACACGAAGCACAGTCGACAAGCGGTTTAAAACCTAGCCTAGGATGTCGTACGTCTGCCCCTAAACCCTAAGAACCCTGAACCCCTGCACGGCTTGCCGAGGCACTGTAAGCAGCGTGTAGACCACGGCAACTTTCTTTCCCATGACCTCAGGAGATGGCAGACTCGGGCATGAGGGTGTTTAGGGTTTAGGGTTGGGATGTTCCCCTTGCAATACCGGTCCTTGATAGGGAATCTAGTACCCTCTATTTCAATCCCTATTAAGGACTGCTCGTGGAAGGGGAAACATCCCAAGCTTAGGGTTTAGGGTTCACTTTAACAAGAGATCGTGCAACTATTCAACCTGCGCTTGCAGTGGCAACAGGTCGAACACCTGGCAGCTAGACCACATCCCCCCCCCCCTCTTATCATAAGGGCACCCGTTGTTTGGTTGGTTACTTTCTAGGGAACCTTGAACCAGCAACAAGGTTTAGGGTTTAGGGTTTAGGGTTTAGGGTTTAGGGTTTAGGGTTTAGGGTTTAGGGTTTACCAAGGGGTTTTGGTCAAGAGGCCACAGAAAGGACTGGCAGTCTCACGGACTGCAGGAGGCAGGACCTGTTGGATAGAACGTACGCTGCGAAAGCGCAAGGCGAAAGCTCGAGCCAAAACCAGGCCGCGAAGGAAGGGAATGGAATGCCGGGCTACTGGCTCGTGTCTTCCCTGAACCCTGAAGCCTGAACCCTAAACCCAAAACCCTAAAGCCTAGGACTTCGAAGACGTAATCTTGGTAGCCCAGTAACCATATTATGATCAGGGCGCCCGTTTTTTGAGTTGGTTGCTTTACAAGGGAAAATTGAACCAAAAAAGGTACCACTGGGCTACCAAGTAATTCTTCCCGAAGCCTTCAGACTGTTGGCTGACTCTCTAAGCCTCTAAAACCTTGGAAACTCTTTCCAAGAACTCCTACAAGGAACCACGAGAGAGAACGGCCCAAAAACCCTCGGAGCTCTGAATTCTAGGGTGTCGCTTAGGTGATGATGGGCAAAGTAAGTCAGCCCTCCGCGGGCCTTCTTGAGCTGCCTGCCCAAGGTTGAAGAATACCGCAAGCCTGGTTCGCGTCAAAGCTGCACTACATCCCAGACCTCTGGGAGGATCCGAAAAGCAGAACTTTCAAAGAGTACCCCATACTAAAAGTGGGTCATTTTTAGGAACCCTTACTAGGCCCAAGAGTAGCTCAGGAATAAAAAGGGGCACCCTTGTTGGTACTGCTGAACCCTTTTAACCCGGAAGGGCTGAGGGTCTAGGGCTTGAGACTCTTGACGTCAGCTGCCACGACGGCTCTTCCGTCAGGAACTGCAAGAAACTCTGAAACCCTCAGCCCTAAACCCTGAAGCCCCAACTCAAGTCGGGGATTTTCGAAAACACGGGCACCCCAAAATACCAGAATCCTTTAAAAGAGCCCCCCAAAAGGGCACCCCCTATTTTCGGAAACCCCCATAACCCCCATAACCCTAAACTCTAAACCCTAAACCCAGTACTAGTTCATGTCTGAGGATGTGGGCCGAGGCGCAGCAGTCTGTGAGAGTCGTTTCTTTCCCTTCCCTTGGCAATCAGAGAGAGTTGCCGCGCAACACGGCAGCTTCAGGGTAGCAGTGTGAAAGGCTGAACAGGGTTTAGGGTTTAGGGTTTAGGGTTTAGGGTTTAGGGTTTAGGGTTTAGGGTTTAGGGTTTAGGGCCAAGTAGCTAGAAAAAAGCTGTTTTACATCTGAGAATATTTGAGAATCGACTCAGCAGCTCCCATTCGCAAAAGCCAAAACGCCCTCAGGCCTACAAACCCTGAACCCGATTAAGGCCTCAGGGCCATAAAGACACCAAAACCCTAAACCCTAAACCCTAAACCCTTTTTGAGCAACACCCCAAACCCTAAACCCTAAAGACCCGTCAGCCCCCAGAACCAAGGCAAGGGTCGCGAAGTCGGCTGCGCATGCTTGGGCGGCAGCATCGTCTTTGCCTGCACAGCCGCCACCTGCACCTGACCGAAGAACTCCCCCAAGCTACTGGGAGGGTTGGGGTTTAGGATTTGGGGTTTAGGGTTTTAGGCTTTAAAGGGTTTAGAGGGTTTAGAGGGTTTAAAGGGTTTAAAGGGTTTAAAGGGTTTAAAGGGTTTAAAGGGTTTAAAGGGTTCAAAGGGTTTAAAGGGGTTGAAAGGGTTTAGACAAGGGTTCAGGGTTTAGGGTTTGGAGTTTTCAGGGTACTTGGAATTTGCTTTAGAACCCCCGCAAAAATTGCAGATTCTGCCTGAAATGGGTCATATAGGAAAAGCTATCTTTTACTTTTTTGAGGTGATTTCAGCAAATCGTGGTTACTGGTAGGCTGCTGCTAGTATATCTAGGGTTCAGGGTCTAGGGCTTAGGGAATCGAATCAGGCGCCCGTCTGGAGGCTTGCGCGAGCAAAGGCTTAGGGTTTAGGGTTTAGGGTTTAGGGTGATTTTGGGCGCAGTCACTTCTGTCTGGGCTGGGTTCATGGCCAGCACGTCTGCCACCTCTGGGCTGGGGGTGGGCATTGTGGGCCTTCAACACATGCACACTCTGCGAAGAACACACCACACACACGCACACATAGGGTTTAGGGTTTAGGGTTTAGGGTTTAGGGTCACACACACACACACTATACACACATGTCACATACTGCATGCTTCCAAGTAGCATCCCACGGGGTTTACCCCGACATCTTCCGCCAAGTGTTGGCAGCTGTCATGGCGCGAGCCTTTCAAGCACCTGACACGACCAGAACAAAACATTGGGTTTAGGGTTTAGGGTTAGAACAAAAACTTCCTGACACGACCAGACCCACATGGGCATTTCCCAAAATAGGGGCCTAGGGGTACCCCTTTAGTACCCCAGAAAGTATAAATCCATTGAAGGGACCCCCCAAAAAGGGTGCCCCTGTTTTCGGAACCCCCCAGATGAAGCTGCCCAGAAGCCCGGGATTTTCAGCTAGGATGGCCCTTAAAAACCTTCTGAAAAGACTCCTGATTATGATCCTCTTAAACGCAAGAAGGGAAAATACAAAATGTCCCAAGGCCCTACCAAGTCAGTGACGATTCACGAACTGACACAGTCAATGCAACCGCATGTGTTCTGAAGAGCCGCCGAAAAAGGGATAACATCAAGATAAAGCTCAGCTTCTAACCCTAAACCCTAAACCCTAAACCCCGAACCAAAAACCCTAAACCCTAAAATCCCGACCAGGCGGCGTCCAAGGCAAGTTTGGGCACTTGCCAGGCAAACTGAACCAGTAGTACCTCATGTCGGCGAAGCACCGATGGACACTTCGTGCATGTACTGTGTCAGGGTTTAGGGTTTAGGGTTTAGGGTTTAGGGTTTAGGGTTTAGGGTTTAGGGTTTAGGGTTTAGGGATGTGCTCCCTTATACTAGCAGCCCTTTAATGGGGATTAGAATAGTTGGTACTATGATCCCTATGAAGAAGTGCTAGCATAAGCAGGAACATCTCAAACTATGCGAGTTGATACCCAGGTGCATCTTTTGGGCTGATTCGGCACGAAACACTTGGGGGTTTACGATATTGCGGGGTACCTTCTTGGGGGTCCTTATTAGAAGGGGATCCGACTATTTGGGGGACTGTACTAGGCTTTTTGGCCCAAGAACAACCTAGGAATAAAAAGGGTGCCTTTTGTGGTTTAAAGGGGCCTATAAGGGAACCCAAACCTAAGGGCCTACTCGGGGTCCTCGTAGGGGTCCCTTTATTTCGTAAACCTCCACTTTGTGACCATTTGAAAGATTGTGCCAAGGTGCGGATAGGAGACGACAATCGAAGCCTTGGGTTAACAGACTTGGGGGTTTCCGACATTAGGGTTTAGAGTGTAGGGTTCAGGGGTACCTTGTTGGGTCCTTATTGTAAGGGGATCCTACTATTATTTTGGGTTCCCCTATTTTCGAAAAACCCCCCAACTTTTTGCACTGCACACTGGGAAACTCCACACTTTCAGGCCCAGAGAAACCGCCAGCTGCGAATATTGCATCTTTTGATCCAGCATAACCTTTCTAATTACTCTCAGAGTTGAGTATGTGGAGACACCTGGCGACAACAAGACAATCTGAGCACATGCGTTGTAACTACATTGCAAGTCTTAGTCGTCCGGTATCCTTGGGGAACTGAAGGTCAACGACCTTTGGGATTGTTAAGAAGGGGAATGTACTACCCCAAAGTGGATAAAGGTTGCATACTCTAGAGAGAATTCTTTGCAAGGAAGCCCACAAGGCGGAAGCGCCTTCGAGGTTTAGCTACTCTGCCACAAAGAGATGCGAAGGAACGTCTGCAGTGGGGCTCGTCTTCTGAACACCAACGAAATCGCCGGCCTGGGAGCATGTATAGTATATAGGCACATGGACCCTTAGGGTTAGCAACGACGTCAACACTCCCCTCTTCCTCTCGGCTTCTCTGCAGAAACATGTCGCGCTCGCGTAAGGGTTACCCTAAACCTTAAACCCTAAACCGTAAACCCTAAACCTTTCCCGGTCCAGCCTCCGCCGTCTCTTTTAAAGTGGGCTCACCTGGACTGCAAATGAAAGTGCGGTGACGTGCGTGCAGCCGGCGAATCTCAGAAGCAGTAGCTGCGGACACCCGTGTAAAAACAAAGGTTTAGGGTTTAGGGTTTAGGGTTTAGGGCGTATGACACTGAACAACACCTCCGTCGCAGAAAAGTTGACGTTGCAATTCAGCTGCTGGTAGCCACGCCATAGTCGAAAGCGCTGAAGAGTGTGGAGAACCCATACACACTTCTGTACTGCACCTGGCAAGCTTGACGGTTTAGGGTTTAGGATTTAGGGTGTAGGGTTTAGGGCCAGGGTTTAGGGCTTAGGGTCTAGGCTCTTTTGAGTGTTTTTGTTGGGGGGGAAGGAGGGAGGTTGGGGGGGGGGGGGGGGTGGTGTGAGAAGAAGCATATTCCGATCAGCATCCTGAGTATCCAAAGGCATCAGGCGCCTTGATGGAGTCCGGATTCTTCACCTTCATCCGATAGTGCCTCAGCGTATAAAACTTGGCATAAGTCGTAGCCCCAAGCTCGTCAGACCTAGTTGTGGGTCACGTTGTCCTTAAACCCTAAACCCTACACCCTAAAGCCTACACCCTGAAACCTAAGCAAC